AAGCCCATCGAATGCTTGTCGAAGTTTTAGATTTATGGTGACACTGCTCTAACTGACAAATCATGTAGGAAATAGTTTCGACGTTTCAAGAATGGAGATTTCAGACAACAGATTGAAGACAAGCCTCACTCTGGACAGCCAAAAAAATTCGAAGACAAAGAATTAGAGGCATTACTCGAAGAAGATCAGAGTCAAACGCAAGAGGAGCTTGTAGAATCATTGGGGATAACTCAACAAGCCTTTTCTGTATGATTGAGAGTCATGGGAATGATTCAAAAACAAGGAAATTGGGTGCCTTATGAACTAAACCCGAGAGATGTTGAAAGGCGATTTTTCACTTGCGAATAGTTGATTCAAAGACAACAGAGAAAAGGTTTTTTGCATCGGATTGTAACTGGAGATGAGAAGTGGATTCTACGACAACCCCAAGAAGAAAAAATACTACGCTAAGCCCGATCAATCATTGCCATCGACCTCAACATCAACACCACGGCCGAACATTCATGGTTCGAAGATCATGCTCTGTATCTGGTGGGACCAAAAGGATCTTGTTTACTATGAGCTGCTGAAACCTAGCGATTCCATTACGGGCGATCGGTATTGGCTACAATTGATTTGTTTGAGCAGTGTATTGCGAGAAAAACGGCCGAAATACAAGCAAAGACATGATAAAGTTATTCTTCTTCAACGTTCGGCCTCATGTCGCTAAAAAAATATTTGGAAACGCTCAAATGGGATGTTTTATCGCATATTCTCCGGACATTGCTCCTTCTGGTTGTTCCGAAGGATGCAGCACGATTTGGCAAGTCACCGGTTCACTTCTTTCGCAGAAATCGAAAATTGGTTCCAAAATTGGATCGCTTCCAAAGACGAGTCATTTTTTCGAGATGGAATTCGAAAATTGTATGAGAGATGGGAAAAAGTAGTAGGCAGCGATGGACAATATTTTAATTGATCTGTTCATTCATTTTATTTTGAAATAAATGCACAAAGAAACGGACCGAACTAATTTGTACTCCCAATATATATAATATATATAATTATAGCCTATAGTCTATTTTTTACATTGAGATATACATATACAGGATAGCCCTCGAAAATGAAACAGATTTAATAATTTCTACAAAATGATTTTTCAAAAAAACAAGTCGATTTGTATTGAGAAAGGGTCTTTTGACGTTTAATTTTTACCCTTAACTTCAACTCTCTAAGCGAGGGTGCCAATTCCTAAAAAAATTTTAATGGGAAGAGAGATCAAATGATACATTATTAGAAAGATCTTTCAATTCCTTACATTCTTACGTTCAATTTTTTAAATTTGATCAATTTATTTAGAAGATACAGAGTGTTAAAACTAAAACAAATAAATCTTCATATCTTACATTTTTTTTCTTTATTATCTGTTGAATCAGTCCATTAATAAGTTGCAACTTGCAAGACATATCTAAATACATACCATTGTGTAATTTAGCGAATAACAATAATTGTTTAAAATGTTGTCTACTATCTTCCATACAATAATGGAGATTCTGCCCGAAACATTCTAGAGCATTTATGGGGTGACTTGACGGCATTCGTCGATGAAATTGACATAAATCTACTAAAGAAGATGATTGTGTTACATAAATTTTACTTTTTAAGTAGCCTACAAAAAGAAATGCAATGGCGACAAATCGGGAGACCAAGGAAGTCATTCAAGCTTCTCTCCTTCCAGTTCAACGACCCGGAAACGTTTATCCAAATATTCAAGTTGTACATAATGCGGAAGAGCTCCGTTGAATATCAATTGATTTTCGAGATGATGTTCATCATTCTTGATAATATCGATTAACGCGTTGGATGATTCTTCTAGCAATTCCAAATACATATCCTTATTCAAATTTTGAAGTAGAAAAAATGATCCAATGAGGCGATTGCTAAAAATGCCTAATATTTAATGTTTGTGAGTGTGGTGATATAGCCTCGGATTATAATCTGCCTAAGAATGACAATTATGGCGATTCATTGTACCATTTAAGAAAAGAACATTTATCGGAAAAACAGAACTAAAAAGAGAGAGAGAACTTTGTTCGTCAGTCGTTCACTTATGACTTCACAAAATTGCAAACGACAATCAAAGTCATCTTCATTAAGTTCCTGCAACTTAATTTTATATGGATGGAACTTGTGATATTTCAAAATTCGTTGAATATTAGTTCGACTAATACTATTATATATACGACAGCCAATTGCTCTGTACTCACCATACTCATTCGCAGCATATGACCCGCAGCATATGAGAGCTGCCACTTTCGCTTGATTTCGTACAGATCTTTCAGCATTTCTTTTTTTATTGGTCATGCATCTAGTCTCTTTAAATTTTACTACTACATGCAAAACATATTTGCGATTGACATGCTTATTTACATATCCTTGATTGAATAGCTCAGTTGTTCTGCACATTCACTATTTTCAAAGAAAAATGCAATTATTTCAGCCTTTTCTGCAATCGAGTATCTAAACCAAAATGAAATTCACTTGTCGCATAGGTACTATAAGGTCTTGCTTAAAGATTACATTGAAGAAAGCCTCTTAGGTTACTAATATTAAAAATACAAAAGAAAAAAATCGAATTGAGGCACAGTAGAAGTGAAATAGAACGATCGGAATTCACAACACTTTGGACATACCTTGTTACTAAAAGTTAGAATCTCTATTATTATATGAAAATCGATAGTTGATATTTCGAACAATTATTATGATAAATTACACGATATATATTTAGATATCCTTTGCAACTTATTAATGAACTGATTAAAAAAAAAAAAAATAGAATAGTAGATAATAAAGAAAAAAGTTTGAAGATATGAAGATTTTGTTTGTTTTAGATTTAACGTTCTGTATCTTCTAAACGAATTGATCGAATTCAAAAAATCAAATGTAGGAATGTAGAGAGACTTTTCTAATAATGTATTATTTGATCCACCTTCCCATAAAAAATTTCTTAGAAATTAGCACCCACGCTTAGGGAGTTGAAGTTGAGGGTAAAAATTAAACGTCAAAAGATGTCCCCTTTCCAATACAAATCGACTTGTTTTTTTGAAAAATCATTTTTGTAGAAGTTATTCAATCTATTTTGTTTTCGATGAGCCACCTTGTATATACAAGATGTTTGGAAAATAATGATAAATATTTCTCATAGCGGCAGAATGGACTAAACTAAGAAGAAAAATTCTGTACCATTTTGTAATTTTCGCAATAGTTAACAAGATATCAATTGCTAAAAATTACTGAAAATTGATCTTTAATAATTTTTTACTCAAATACTATCAACTTTACAGAAAACTGTAAGAGACGAAAATTGTTTATTTTCTTTTTATAGAATTCTAGAATTAAAAACATTTTTTTTAGAATTTTTTAATATTATATTTTCTCATGTTGATAAAAATGAGAAAATGTAAAAAGTTGATAAAAAATTCTGAAAAAATTCATAGAGTTCTATGAGAAGAAAATAAACAATTTTCATCTTTTATAGTTTTTCTGTAAAATTGATAGTATTTGAATAAAAAAATTGTAGCATGGATTTCTATAATATCGATTTTCTCTATGGCTCTATGCTATGATTTTACCGACAGAAAATGTGTGATAGGTACAGTAGCGATGTAATATTCAAATTGAAAATGGATGTACTGGCGCTAGTTGTACGAGCGATTTCGATGGTAACAGGAAAAATATCGGTATGATCTCTCTCAGGTTTTTCTCTGATTTGTGAACTCGAAAAGAATTTATTTCTTTGACTTTTTTGTAAATTAGTGTAATTTGTTCGAATTGAATTTAAAAAGAATTCCTTTCCGACAATTAACAAAAAACTTCCATAAAAGTACTTCTTACAAGGTTAAATTGAAGTTAACTTAAAGAAATTTTTTTTCTGTTTGTAATAGGTTCGAAAAAAATTTATTTTTAGCACAATATATTTGTACAAAATTATTTCCGTTATAAGTCATGATCTGCCGCCTAGAATTGTACCATGCTTGAGTGATTGCTGCAAGCAATAAAGGTGCCTTTTCATGCTGACGCTCGACGCTCATTTTCAACGTTAAAATAAATCACGTGATCAAAATTGATATTCGTCAGTTTCTATCACATGACTTATTTTGATGAAAATGAGCGTCGAGCATCAGTATAAAAAGGCATCTTAATAGAAATTAATTTTTGCAATAGCGTTTTGTATATATACATACAAAAAATATACATTACATACATATGCATACATAATCATATATGTTTAAACATAAAAATAAAATTCAATTTGAATAAAAATGAAGTATGATTTATTTTTATATAAAATTAACTAATAATTAATAATAAATTAATAATAAATTAACAAAAATATGTGCTGCGACAAAAAATATGACAATACAAAGAAACATAATATATATGCTTTTAGCAACTGATTTATATATTTTAAAATATTTTTTTGGTTGCAATGTTTTTGACGCAAAATATATTAATTTTTATTTCGTATTTCGAAGCACTTCAATAATCCCAATCTATTTAACTTTCCGATTTCAGAAAGATATATAATTCCAAATCACGAACTATTTATATTCCGAATTTTATATAACTAATGAAGACTGAGTACAAAATGTATTGCGACCATTGTGTTTATATTTTTGTAATTTAATTATTTAATACCAATTATATCATTTTAATTCTTCTTTAATAAAAATTCCGTTTTTGATCGTTTATTGATTGATTATCCTTATTATCCTTATTATATGATATTGTATTTAAGTGATATCGAGTATGTAGTATATAGTCTATTTATTTTAAAAAATTATATACATATTCATATAATATTAGTTTCTTGGCTTTATTTGCAAATTTTTGAAATTTATTCTTTGTATGGAACTTCTAGTTATAGTTATATTTTATTATTATTTATCCTTGTTCACAGATCGTATATTTTTCTGAAATATTTTTGCTAAACTCTATTGGATTTAGTTTTAGGAGTAAGTTATCTAGGGAAAGCAATGGGACACTCCATATAATATAACATCATGCAGAGTGGTGCAAAATGATCGAATTCGTTATTAGATGATAGCTTTTACCTAGTGATAGATGAAACATATATTAGGTATGCATATTAATGTCTATCTAATTTCGAATTAATTTGATGCAGATTATTCAGCTGTGCTTCATTAAAACAATTTTATTTGTTACAAGCTCACGCAGTTTTAATTAAAATATTTTGCTGATTAATTGTATACTTACTTGCAAAGGCGGTCAGCCATTGTGGCCAAACAGTAATTTTCCTATTGTTGGGAATCTTTGGATCCTTATTGGCGCAAAACATTTTTTCTCAAGATGTGCAGGATGTAAGATGCATATTACGATCCAGATAGAATCAGACTGACCTACGTGAATTCAAGATCTTGAGCTTTCTCGAGGAAGAGACGAGGAAGAAACAAGATGAATGCATTTACATTTCGATAAGAATACGATTTATTTATAACATCTCACGTATCATGTGATTTGATAATACTTTTGCATTTACATTTGTAAATCCCATTTTGATGAAACGTATGTTTGTACACTGGTAGTGATCTATAAAAAATGAATGTCAGTACCGATTTATCATTATTTAAACAATTTATCGTTATTTAAAGATTCGAATATTTAAACTTGAGATTCTCTAAAAGAAAATAATGAAAATTGAATGTATTTTGTTTTAAAGATTATCTTAATTTAGAAATGTCAAAATGTCAAGTTTTCAGTCAAAGTGCTGAGAAGGCAGAGTTGAAGAAACTTCTAGAAAAATTATATTCAAAGCATCGAAAATTTTTAATTTTGAATTTATCATACATTTTAATTTAAATTTTTCAAGAATTAGAATTCTCAAAATTCAAAATATAAAAGTGCTTGGAATTTTTAATAAAAGTCCAAAAATACTTTAATAAAAATATATAATAATTATAAATACACGTATTTGAATATTAAATCTTT